AAAGGAGATTTGTTACAAAATTATTGGATATCCACCTGATTTCAAGCAGAAGAAGAAAGCAAATGCAATCATGATTGACACAACTAGACAACAAGGAATGACAATTTCACCAACAAAAAACACATATCAACCAAGCAGCAATGTTGAACCAGCTCAATTCTTCACCAAGGAACAGTACAATCAATTGCTGCAACTACTAAATAAAGGTTCTACTGCAGGAGCAAGTGCCAATATGGCAGGTAAATATTTTTATGGTAATGTAACATTATGTGAAACTTTGAACTTTGCAAATGGATAGTAGATAGCGGTGCTACTAACCATATGACTGATGACAAAATTTACTAAAAAATAAAACTTCAATAGGAAATTCAGGAGAAGTGCAATTACCTACTGGAGATTCAGCACTAATTTCTCGTATAAGAGAGTGTCAGCTCACTGGAGGTGATGTACTGAAAGATGCGGTATGTTACTAGCCTTTAAGTTCAATTCTCATGTTAGTTTCTAAAGTGACAGAGAATCTTAAATGCAGTGTTACTTTCTTTCCTAAATGTTGTGTATTTCAGGACCTCTTATCTGGGATGGTGAAGGAGATTGGTAGAAAGGAAGAAGGTATGTACCTACTACCAGCAGCATTAGGAAAGACAATAAATACAGCATTTGCAGCAACTAGTAAAGGAAGCATAGAGATATGGCATAAGAGAACAGGACATGTTCTAGTTCAAGTTCTCAGAAGGATTCCTAGTATATAACACTGTAGTGGTACACTAGATAATGATTCAATGTCTAAATGTGAAGTTTGTCCCCTAGCACGATAAACTAGAGTACCTTTTCCAACTAGCACTAGCAGAAGTTTACATAGTTTTAATTTGATTCATATGGATGTGCGGGGACCTTTTAAAATTGCTACTCGCAATGCTATAAAATATTTTCTTACATTGGTTGATGAATTTACCATATGGACTTGGGTGTTTCTTATGAGACTTAAATCTGATGCTACTTTCTTACTCAAAAACTTTATTACTATGATCAAAACACAATTTGGGAAGCAAATTAAAATGTTTAGATCACACAATGGGAGTGAGTTTTTTAACAGTGCATGTAGTGACTTCTTTCAACTGCATGGGATTGTCCATCAAAGCTCCTGTCCATATACTTCCCGGCATAATGGAGTTGTGGAAATGAAACATAGACACATACTCGAGACTACTCGAGCAATTAGATTTCAAGACCATTTACCTATTAAATATTGGGGGGCATTGCATTTGATACTGATGTGTACATCATCAACATAATTCCTTCTTTTGTTATGGCACGTAAGTCACCATATGAATTGCTTTTGGGTAAGATACCTTCACTGACACATCTAAAGGTAATTGGATGCCTATGTTTTGCTACTAACTTGACAGGTCATGATAAATTTGCACCTCGAGCTATGAGGTCAGTCCTCCTGGGAAATGTTGCACATCAGAAAGGCTACAAACTTTTGGATTTGGAAAATAGAGTGTTCTTTATAAGTAGAGATGTAGTATTCTATGAAGATATATTTCCTTTTCATACAATAGAAGACTCATCGGAACCATTATTCTTGAATATGACTCCAGTGCCAATAAAAGATTTTGCTGAGGAACCAAATGATGTAGCTAGTTCTATTGCTGGTAATCATCCTGAAGTAACCAATGTGCCATGTTCACCTGTTGTGACTCATGTTCCCTTAAATGAATAGGACATTCCACATTCTGTTGAGCATAATAATATTGATAGTCCTCGTAATTCTTTTGCTCCACCTCATGCTGAGGAAACAAGAAAATCAACTAGAGTATCTAAGCCTCCAATATGGCTTAAGGATTATGTTAGAAATGACAGGCTAAACTCTGCAAGTTGTTGCAGATACCCTATCTCAGAAGTAATTGGATATGAAGTATTTTCTTAAAAGTATCAAAGCTACTTGGCTAACTTTTCAGTTGAGGTGGAAACTACATCATATTCAGAGGCAGTAAAGGACAAGCGATGGGTAGAGGCAACGCAGGCAGAAATTAAGGCACTAGAGGATAACAAGATTTGGGAATTGGTATCTTTGCCACAGGGACAGAAGGTAATACGATGCAAATGGGTTTATAAAATCAAATATAAGGCATAAGGAGAAGTAGAAAGGTTCAAAGCTCGTTTGGTAGCTAAAGGGTATAATCAGAGGAGAAGGTTTAGACTATCAAGAAACCTTTTCACCTGTGGTAAAAATGGTTACTGTTAGAAGTGTGTTGTCCATTGCAGCCATAAGACAATGGTCTATTCATTAAATGGATGTTTACAATATCTTTTTGTAAGGTGATCTTTCTGAGGAGGTGTATAGGAAATACCTCAAGGTTTCAGGGGGATCAAAAAATAAATCCAGAGTTTGCAAACTGCTTAAGTCTTTCTATGGACTTAAGCAGACATCCAGACAATGGAATCTCAAGCTAACACCAGCCTTGGTGGATGCTGGTTTTCAGCAGAGTCATTTGGATTATTCCTTGTTCATCAAAAGAGCAGCATATCACATGGTGGTTGTCCTAGTATATGTTAACGATCTCCTTATCATTAGTGATAGTATTGTCATGATTCAATAGACCAAGGATGACTTACAATCCTCATTTAAGATCAAGGACCTAGGAGAGTTTAAATACTTCATAGGCATAGAGTTTGCACAAAATAGTGATAGTATATTAATGCACCAATGCAAATATGCTCTAGAGCTCATAGCTGAGTTGGGACTCTCAGGTTCCAAGCCTGTATCCTGCCCTATAGAACCTAATGTGAAGCTTACTACGACTGAATTTTGACACTCATACAGGATCATCTAATGACATATTGTAAACTGATCCAGGACCATATCAAAGGCTCTTGGGAAAGCTCCTTTACTTGACCATCACAAGGCCAGATATTTCTTTAGCTGTTCAAAGTTTAAGCCAGTTCATGCATAGTCCTAAAGTCTCTCATATGGAAGCTGCACTTAAGGTAGTCAAGTATATCAAGAATAGTCCTGACTTGGGAGTTCTCTTGACTGCTCATTATTCCGAATCACTATCAACATTTTGTGATGCAGACTGGGATGTATGCCCTAATACACGCAAATCAGTTACATGCTACTTCGTTAAGCTCGGTACTTCCCTGATATCTTGGAAGTCTAAAAAACAATCCACTATTTCTAGAAGCTCAGCTGAAGCTGAATATTGCAACCTAGCTTCCACTATTGCATAGGTTATATAAATCCTTGGCTTACTCAAGGAGCTAGGAGTGCAACATCATTCCCCCGCGCCTATCTACAATGATAGCAAATTAGCTCTTCATATTGCTGCCAATCATGTCTTTCATGAGCACACAAAGCACATTGACATTGACTGTCATTTCATCTGTAAGAAGATTCAACAAGGCCTCGTCTCCACTTTCTATTGTGCTACAATAGAGCAGGAAGCTGATATCCTTACAAAAGGACTCGGTCGACTTCAACATTCATATTTGATGTCCAAGCTAGGACTTCTCAACGTTTTTCCCAGTCCTAGCTTGAGAGGGGATGTAAAGGATGTAGGTTAATCTTAGTTAGCTTAATTGCAGTTAGTTAACTTAACTATAGTTAGTGAGATAGTTAGTGAAGTACAACTGTCATTACTTAGGCGGTTAGTTAGTTAAAAACACTTTAGTAGCTTCTTTACCTTCATTACGTTTTGTACAGAAAACAAAGCATTTCCTCTTTTCTATGAAATTTCTCTCAATTCTTCATCTCAGATTTCTTCTCTTTAGCTGCATGCTGCTAGCAAATTCATCACAATGCTTATATATTGAACTAATACTTTCTCTATTTTTTTATTATTATTAGTAGTAGCAGTAGTTTGCAATAGCACTTCAAGTGTTTATGTCACTTTTTATGATATGTCTCGGGAATCATGAGAACTTATTTATTTATTTGGAGATCATTTTATTGTAACTATTATGGAAAAAGTAGGTAAAATTATTATTATTGCCATCTTTCCTTGCATTGAGTATCAGAGTGCTCTATTTAAGGAAAAAACATCATTATTTTCATTCTGTTTTCTATATTTTATTACTCAAGATAATTTATTAATTTGGATTCATATGAAATATTAATATTTTGAACCCCAACTTGTGTTGAAGCTAAGAATATTTTTGTTGTAGGTGTAACAAGTGATACAAAGCTTTGTCCAATAGAGTTGAGGATGCAATTTGTGAAGCATAACATGATACTAAAAAAATATTTATCATTTTTTCATTTTTAACTTTCTTTGTAAAGTGCAAGCCTTTATATAAAGTTATTAATAAATATTATTATATATTACAAGAAATAATATGTTCAGAAACACTTAAATGAAATAAAATACAAGGAGGGTTTAATGCTACATTTTTTTTTCCTTTCCATCCAAAAGCTTCTAAATAATCTTTCTTCTCTTCTCTTCTCCAATGTTTCTTTATATAAATTTGATTGAAATTCTAGACGTATAGCTTATTTTATAATTATTTTTTATTATTTACATTAAGCAAATTTCATATGCTAGAACCTTTTTAATAGGTACATGAACAAAGCAAACTGAAGACTTTAGAAACTTTTGCAATTTTGCCAAGCCAATATTCAATCACTACACAGTAATAAAAGTAATGACATATTCTTTTCGTTAAATTAACTAAGTTGTTCATAATAATAAAATTTTATATTTGTGATATAATTAATTATATAAACATTTAGACGATACATATTTATGTTATTTTAAGAAGTTTATAGGTGCAATGCACGTTTCCAAAAACTAATCACATACATAAATATTTGATCAAAGATAAGATATTAATGTTGTGTAAAATTTTATAATAAAAGAATTTTGAAAAATACTTTGATACAATTGTAAAAAAGTTATTTAATTCCCAAAATAATGATAATCATACCATATAATATCGGACATAATACTTGCTTTCGCAACATATTTACGACATGTGAAAAAGCATCGTAAAGAGGAGACTCGAAATCGACGGAGAAGAAGAAGACCGAAAATCTGTCACATTATTAATGCATGTCAATTTGATTATATTCTCTACACAATCTTCGCCCTGTTTTTCAAACAGTGGGCTTGATATATGCAAAAGACTGACATTTGATTTCTAGTGCTCAAGCAAAGGATTACAAAAAGAGTGAATCATTTAATATCAGCAGAAGCCAGAAGGTAGCTACTAGCTCCACTAATTTTCATCACTGCATTGTTCAATGGGGGTGAATACTAACATTGAAGAAAGCAGGGATCGTCGGGTTGGGTTGATATACGACGAGGGAATGTGTAAGCATTCATGCACAGACGATAATCGCCATCCCGAAAGCCCTAATCGTATCCGTGCCATCTGGAAAAAGCTCCAGTATTCCGGAGTTACTAATAGGTAATCAGAGAATTAAACTCAAGATAAATGTTACATCCTCACCTGATTTGTTTTTTTTTTTTTTGGGTTTTGCATGAGATCATCTAGGGTTTGTGAGGCGTGATTATGCTATGATTAAGCTGCATATTGTGATTCTACAGTGTTCTGAGTGCTCGGAATTGTTAATTGGGCTGTAAAAGCTAGTTTTGGAAGATAGTATGTTTACGATTGGCGAGAACATGGCGTGTTTGACCAAGGGAAATGTCTTCCACTAGGAAAATGTGAAATGTTTTCCTGGAAAATAAGTGAGTTTCTTGCTTATTTTATGGTGTTTAACAAGTAAGCAGAAAATATAATTTAGGAAAAACAATGGGGATGTAGTGGGGTGGGTGGGGGTGTGAGCATGGGGGCTGTGGTGGAGGTGGAGGTGCAGATCCAGGATTTTAAGTTTATGGATTCCTATGGAAATCTCAAGTTAATATACAATAATAATTGGATTAACGGACTGGGTTCCACATTAAATATTCTTATAAATTTAATAAATTTTTCAATACAAATACAAGGTCTAGACAAAAGTTATTGGGTTCACGGGAACCCATAATTAATGTACTGGATCCTCTGCCCCGTGGAGGTGGGATCAGACGGGGTTGGGGAGTGGCAGGGGTAGTAGGGTAGGGTTTGGAGGAGACAATGGGCGTGGAATGTCACTTATAGAACTTGTTTTGCATACTCTCACCAAGGAAGTTATTTTTCTGATTTTTAAGGAACTTGCTTTCCTAGAGAAAATGTTTTCCAAGATATTTTGACCAAATGTTTTCCTCCATACCAAACACATCCATAGTGTTCGATCATTTTGAGCTTTTTATTCCTAAATTCCGTTTAATTTTTATTGTAAAACATGTCTATTTTATGTGTTGGTGCTAACTTAAGACTCAAACATGCCTATCTTATGAACTGAGTCACAGACTGGCTATGTCTTTGGTGATTTTCTTGTAATTCCTTGTTATCTGCTTAGCAACCCACTATCTCAACTATACTTCAATTCCGAACAAGTTGGAAGTTATATGAATCCTTGTGTCCATTCGGAGGATTTATCATAATTTACTATCTTTACGCTGATTGTCTTTTTTTCTGGTTTGGGAGGTTATGTTTTGCGAAACCCACATAACATGATTTTAGTAACCTCTCTCTGTAGGGTGATAACTCAAAGCCTGAATCTTTTGATGTAAATGTCACTCTCTCTGTTTCATTTAATATGTTGGTGTTTGACGGGGAATGAAGTTTAAGAAAGAAAGAGTTTTGACATACTCCAAAAGTCTCTACGAGCTTATGGTCAAACATGCCATGACATATCTATGGCTATAAGAGTATGTCATTAAGTGCACAAGGAGAAGTTTAAAGTTAAAGAGTTTCTAAATATAAAAAGATGTCATTCTTATGGGAAGAGTGCCAATAAGATGGAACAAAATGGAGTATAACTGTATCTGTTTTTTATTTTATTTTATTCTTGGATTCTCCATGAAGTATTTTGATCCGCTTCATTTTCTTTTCCATTTTTGTCCGATGTAGCGGGTAAATCAAGTAAATTCGTTCTAAAAGGTATTAGTGATCTGTTCTGTTTCAGATGCCTTATTCTGAATGCAAAGGAAGCAAGAGATAAAGATATAGAATTGGTTCACACCAAAGGTCACATTAATTTGATTAAACAAATAAGTTCAGAGAAATTTTCAAGAAGAAAGAGGACTCTTGAGGAGTTTAATTCCATATATTTCAATGAAGGCTCATCAGAAGCCGCTTATCTTGCTGCTGGTTCGGTCATTGAGGTATGGCACTCAGAATCTGTTGTATGCATAAGTCTCATTGGATGTCACTTTTCTCTAGCTTGTTAACTGACCCAAAAGAAATGACAGATATACAAATAATTCCGTCCACCCGCAGCATTTCCGCTTGCAAATTTAGACTAATTGAACTAAAGGAATCTGCTGTTGTTTGCTGTTTCATGATCTATTTGAAATTGTTTTTGATAACAAGAAAAATATTTGCAAGAGCCTTTTAGCTGGACCATTCTATGTTTTATCCATCTGCTATTATGAGCATCAGTGTCAGATGTAAAACCTCTGCCCAATTTTACATGATCATTTATAAGCTCTTTGGTACTGGATTATGAAACTTGTTTCTTGCTACAATGTGATCATCAATACAACTAGTCCTCTCACTCCTGATTCCGGTGATGCAGTTATAGAATTGGGGTTTGAAGGGATTGCAACACATTACTATTTTAGAGGGCTTTAATCTTAGGTGTATGCACAATATAGGTTGCTGAGAAAGTTGCGGAAGGAGAACTGGATTCTGCCTTTGCCATTGTCAGGCCTCCTGGTCATCATGCTGAAGAAGATGAACCAATGGGATTTTGTCTGTTCAACAATGTTGGTATTGCAACAAGTTATCTCTTGGATGAAAGAGTAAGTGCAATTTTTAATCATCAGCTGTCAGAGCTCATCCAGATCTTTGATTAGTTTGGTGGCAATGTGCACATATTGTGATTTAATATGCTAAATAACACCATGCAGGTTGATCTGGGCATTAAAAAGATTTTGATTGTTGATTGGGATGTTCATCACGGAAATGGTACTCAAAAAATGTTCTGGAAGGACCCTCGAGTACTTTTCTTTTCTGTACATAGGTATTTGTAACATTTTCAGTTATTACTTGTTTTTTCTATTCGTATGTGACATCATACAACAAGATACGTGAAAGCTTCCTGAAAGAATTTTGAGCGTATTTGGGAATTGTACTCTTTGCTTTTACTCTTCGTGTTATTCTCGAAACCCGAAGGCTGAATTATTGTCTTAAATTATCAAAACTAAGTCTTTTTTGTGGGTCTGGTGTATCATTAGCTGTCCCAACTAAGTCTTTTTTTGGGTGTATCACTGTATCCCAACTAGGCACGAGTCCGGAAGTTTCTATCCAGATGGTGAAGACGGATCACATGTCATGATTGGAGAAGGGCCTGGAGCAGGTTACAACATAAATGTTCCTTGGGAGAATGCCGGGTGTGATGATGCAGATTATCTTGCTGTATGGGACAATATATTAGTTCCTATTGCCAAAGAATTCTGCCCTGACCTGATTATGATATCTGCTGGATTTGATGCAGGTAAGTAGAAACTTGGGAGATACATCTGTTGAGATCTTCTGGCCATTTGTATATTTTTTCCTTTATTATCTCCTTTCTCTCGCAACTTCAGTTATCAAGTTTTTAAATTTTACATGCTTGATTATAAAAGCATTTTCTTACAACAGCTTCAATTTTTTGGGCATTGATATTTGTTGATCAAACTATCCATATTCCACTTGATACAGTTTATTGTATCTGTAATTTGTATCTACTGCAGGCTTCGTCACTTCTTATCCTTGAAAATATTGCACTTTGGGATTTGCATCTTTTGCTGCAGCAGTAATAAACTTTGACATCTTCAAAATTTTCTCCCTTATGATTTGATATAGACATTTCTGATTTAAAGCTGGATCCTTCGGGAAGTTTAGAGATATAAACCGGATAAGGCTTACAAATACATGGAAACTGAAGGGTTCTGCATAATGGACCTTTTTTGTTATGCCCTGTTGTTGTAATCAACAATGGCCGTTGCCTAATTTATTCTTTCGGTCTATCATTTGTTCCGCATAACCAGTACTATGGGAACACATGCTTATGTATGGATAGAAATCCACTTGACTTCCCTTTGGTTGTGTGTGTGTGTGTGTGGGGGGGGGGGGAGCAAGCCTTTTTCATTAACTGGT